GTGGTCTACTACATTGTCTACTACCCATGCCTAGTTAATTTCTTTATGTCTGCTTATAAATAAACTAGGAAATAAGCTAGGAAAGCTTATTTCATAGAATCATAAGGGTTGGAAAAGAACAACTGTCCACCTAGCACCAATATTGCCCTCTAACCATGTGCCACATCTGCCATTCATCTCCAGAAACGGTGGTTCCCCCACCCTGGGCAGCCTATGCCACTGCTTCACCATTCTTCCTGAGAAGATGTTTTTCCTAATATCCAATCTGAACCTCCCCTGTTGCAACTTATGGCCATTTCCACTCGTCCTATCTCTGCTCTTGTGCATGTAAAGACACCTGAGACAATTTTATTACCTTTTAAAAAGCAATAGGTATACATTGCTAACAGGCCTCTTTGATGTCCAAAAAGATTTGGTCTTACATGTTAGAAGCCAAAGCAGAGCAGCATCGTAACAAAAACTAGGCCCATGTGACTCAATAAAAATAGTAATGATAATCTCTGTCACTTTCTTAGGGTATTTACACAATCACACATTCAGTAAAAAATTGTAACATATCACACACCTCAATCAAATGCATGTATATGGAAACAGCTTTCTATATACATGGCATAGCTTTATTTAGTTTTCTGTGCAGAAGAGCTGATCTGGGTAGGGAGCTGAGTTCCTTTGTCCTTTACTCCACACTAACCTGGGATAATGTTACACATGCACTCATTTATGGCCAGCACAACAGAAACCTAAAACCTTAATCAGACTACTTCCATTGGGTTGTTTGTGCCAATTGTGTTCCTGGGGATACACGCAAATTGCGTGGTAAATATGCCTACGTGGCAAAATGGTGGCCCACAGAAAATGTGGGGCCACAGTAGCTGACCAGCTCCATTCACAGAATCATAGAATCATAGAACCACAAGGTTGGAAACGACCTTCAAGATCATCTAGTCCAATTGTCCTCCCATTGCCATTGCTGCCACAAGCTACTAAACCATATCTCATAGCTCCTCATCCAGATGCCTCTTGAACACTGACAAAGACATCGACTCCACCAACTCCCTAGGCAGAACATTCCAGTGTCTAACCACTCTCTGAGAGAAGTTCTTCCTTATGTCTAACCTAAACCTCCTGATACAACCTTGGGTCCTGTTTGTTGCTTGGGAGAAGAGGCCCTGCTGCTCTGTGTGCTGTAAGCAGACGGATGGGCCAGGATTTTTCCTACCATTCCTTCAACTACAACACATTTAAATAAAAAGAGTAAGGCTTGCAATAACTCAAAAACAAAATCTGGAGAATGACAGCTGGAAATAACCTTGTTAAAAATAGCCCAAAGTAAGTCTGCAATACAATCTACATACTGACATATTTGTATGTAGGGCTGGAAGGAAGCAGAGGTAGCAAATTGTGGTTTTGGCTGAAAATAAAAGTTGAGGGGCTAATTCAGCATCCAGCTCAGCACAGTTGGTGCCCTGGCAGAGAAACCAACAGCAGGGCTGCTGGGCTCTGCAGCACTGATAGCAGGATGCCTGAAGGGTAGGATTCGGAGAAGAGAAACCTGTTTGCTTGGGGAAAGAAAGGGCTTCTTATTGCAGACAGCTTGGATAGCAGGAAAAAAAGCAACAATATTTTTAAAATACTGGGGAGATATATCGTTCTTCTATCCCAGCTGTAAACAGAGCAGCTGCCCAAATGGCTTTCTCCTGACCCAAGGGAGTTCTATGGGCGTCCCCTTCTCCTGGGAGAGCTGCAGCAGCTTGGCACAAATTGGGTTTGCTGCTTTGCAGCCCAATCTCAGGGCGGTGCTCCACAGTATGCTAGCAGCTCCACAAGCCTTTATTTTATTGCTGCTGCTCTGGGAGTAGCTGTAGCTATTTTCAGTTTAGCATCAGATGGCATCTGAAATTAATGTTCTTTAATAAGCAGCAAAATGCACGTTGTCAGCATCTCAGTGTGAACACAGATACAATTAGGCCTTTGGCAGAGCTTATTTATGCTTTACCTGTGCATAAAAATGTTCTTTAGATTTTGTCCCATGTCTCTCCTGGCCCGATTTATTTACTTAGCCCAGATTCAACAAAAAGAGGGAAAAAAATGCTGCAAACACAAAGGCTTCACTCCTCCTCACTCTTCCCAGTTGCACACACCCAGCCGACTCATTTCCTTTCTCAGCAAAGGAATCAGGCCCCTGTGATGCAGTATTTCCAAAACAAGGATGTTTCAGCCACAAAACCTTCACCTCTACATTAGGGAAAATGTGACAGACGTTCTTGCTACACACAGAAGGAGAAACAGCCCAGGAGCTACCACACAAAGCGCATGCGTTAGCCTTGGAGGTGCAACACACGCCAGAGCATTTAATGCAACACATGCCAGATTGTTTCACGCAATGCATTCAATATGAGCCAGTGCTGCTGAGCCACAAGGCAGCAGGAGAGCCTCAACTCTCCAAGTGCAGATGCTGTGGTCAGATAGGGGTATAGAGAAATGACAGGGTGTGAAAGTTGCATGGTGAAGTCCTTTGTGTTCACCGTAACATTTGAACCCAGTTTAGGAATAGTCTTTCTTTAAGAGTCATCTAAATTTTGCTGTTTCCTTTGCTGAAACGCAGCTCTGCTCTCCCAGAGCCACTTCACAGCATTTGTAGTCTTTGCTATCTAGTGATGAATTCCAAATGAAACAGGCTGCATTTGAAAGAGAAAGGGTTTTCTCAAGCTGTCACCTCAGACAAGTTCCCAGCAGTTGAGCTGGATTTCTTCCATCACGTGCATCACCATTGGCAATAGAGGGTCAGGTAAGCAAGCTCCGCATCCTGGCTGTGCCTGCAGAGCTGCATGGCCATCAGCTGGTGCTCTCAGCAGCAGCCTGCTGACCTTGATAGCTCTAGTACTGTCACACAAAGGAATGTATTGCATCAAAGCTGGCAGATCTGATGGCCTCACATGCTGAAGAGCAGTGCCAACAAGCATAGGAATCACTAAGGACTATATGATTAATGCCAGGAGACAGCTACCTAAGTGAGTAATCTTAACATATGGCACCACTCATGCTTTTATAAAAATCATGTATTTACCTTCTATAAATGTGGTCATGGTACGAAGTGCCCTTAATATCTCAAACCTCTTATCAAGGTATATCCAATCAACTTCATCTAGGAGTAGATGTCTGTGCTTATGACGGGGGAGATGGAATTGAATGGCCTTTAAGGTGTGCTCCAACCCGAGCCATTCTGTGATTCTATGAAAAGATGCTGTTTTCAGTCTTTCCGTTTTCATAGAATAGCTTAGGTTGGAATAGATCTCAAAGAAAATCTAGTTCCTGCCATAGGCAGGGCTGCCAGCCCCCAGCTCAGCTGCCCAGGACCCCATCCAATCTGACTTTGAACCCCTGCAGGAATGAGGCAGCTGCAACTTCTCTGGGCAGTTGTGCCAGCACTTCACCTTCCTGTGAGTAAAGAATTTCTTCCCAACATTTCACCTAAATCCCCCCTCTTTTAAGTCATTTCCTCTTCCCCTATCACTATCTATATCTGGAGTATGGGTTCACAAGGAAACTGTCTTGCTGTGGATTGGACAGAGAAAGCTTTCTTTTTTTCCCAACCTAGGAAAGAATCCTTAAAGAGAAAAAAATGCCTTCCTATTCCTCAGAAAGGAACATGACATAGTAGAGAGTAAACTCATGCATATTCACTCAGCACTAACAGTCAACACACACTTGCTCACTGTGCAAAAATATACAGCAGAACTGAAACAGGCAGTTCAAAACACCACTAAATTACACATGTTGTGCAATGTGAGTTTTCCCTTTGGGCCATTCAGTGCTATCCTCCCACACCAGTACTCAGGGTGAGCACTTGGACGCAGAGGAAATGATGTTCCCTGCATGAACCTAGAGGGAATTCATTGTTCATTAGCTGTGGCAGGAGGGAAAAGTATTTCTGATATACCTCAGCTGGACTATCAGTACTCCATCAGGATTTCTGAAGACAAAACGCTGTTTACACAGCATCAGTTGGGAAAATGGTATTTCATTAACGAAGCCCTGTTGAAAATCTGCCTGACATTTAAACGGCACCAAGTTTTTGTAGGTCTTGCTTTCCCTTTACTTTTTTTCCTCACAGTTCCATGACTCATTACTCAGAAGCATTAAGAGTTTCTGGATACATCTTTAAAGTCCTCTCTTTTCTTGGTGTCCTTTTCCCCATGCTTGTTAAAAAAAAAAAATATTTTAAGAGTCAGCTTTTTAACATCTCTAATAAACTGAAGTATTGCAGAAATATAACGAGGTAATTGAGATTTAATATAACCTATTTATTAGCTAAGTAAGAGCAGCTGCATATCTAACACAAGGCACGCATGATGTCCTTATAAGGTGAAGGGAGAGGATTCTGCACGTGAGGTCTGTGCTTATCCTTTACATTTATTACCTTTCCATTTCCTATTTCCCCAACTGCCACTGTTTTTGGAAGAACCATAAATGTTGCTACAGTTCAGCTTGAGAAAAGCATACCAGCCCTTAGTCTTTCTTGTGTGTGAGGATTGACACCTTGTGGCCAGAAAGCGTTAAAGAAAAAAATGGCCCTATCCTATTTTGAATCATCTAGCCATTCCCTATAGGACAAAGTTTTCTTTACGTAATGTTTACTTAATTCTTCAGAGAGCCACTGAAAAATCAGCCTAAGCATGGGTTTGTTCTCTTTTCTTTATGTTTCTGTATGGTTGTGTATGACTCCATTTCCTTTCTTCTACAGGGAGAAAAAAACTCATTCATCCAGCAACCAAAGAGTTCCTGCTTCAGGGAGACCATCCTTTAGAAAGAGGGCATCTCAGTGGTCATCTCAAAGGGAGGCTTTTCTCCAGAGGACTCTGAAATCTTTTTACTTTAAGCAAGTTGAAATGTAACAGACTTGAAACACCTCTTACTGAACTCAGTGTTTCCTCCTACACGGAGATGCATTTTTTTTTTATTATTTAAATTACACTGACTCCTAGGAACACAGTGTGCTAGGGATCATACCAACAAAGTGCTCAGCAGGTAGACACTGCCTTGCATCCTCACTGTGTGGCAGACAAGAAGTGGCAGCTAGGCAAAACAGATTAAAAGTGGGAGTGTGGGTTGAGAAGAACAGACAATAAAGTGAAGGGGGAAAAGCAGACATTCCTGCTTATCCACTAAGTCTGGCTGATGTCAGATGAGAACAATTTGTATATCAGCCTGAGAAAGGTGAATTTCAAATGGAGAGATCAGAAAGGATGTGTTTACCTTCTTTAGATTTTGACTAGAAGCTTCCTGCAGGAGCAGGAGGCAGAGAGAAAAAGAAGCAAAGGATCTTCCTGGTCTTGAAAGGCTTGCAGGGCTAGTAGGCTGACAACAAAATCATTATTTGACCCCAGGTTGATCCTTTTTGCTTCTGCAAAGCTCACAGATTCTCCCAAAGTACAGTAATTATCTCTTTAATGGCTGGAAATGTCCTGGAGAAACCTTCATTCTCTTCTACATGGAAAACCATTTTATCGATTCAAACAGCCATCTGCCCATAGTAACAATGTGCAGAGACCATAAGATCTGCAACATACTGAAGTTAATTATGTATTCCCAGTTCTGTTGCTATATGGGCTACATATAAGATCACTCATGTGAGAACCATTATGAACTTAAGAGCCAATGGGCTCATCCAAATCTATTTCATAGCTCTCCAGTCAGGGGGAATTTGTTCCCCTGGACATCACGTGTCCCAGTACTACACACCAACCACGTTTCTGGTCTAGCAGCATTAACAGTTCTGCTTTCGTGTTTGCGAGTTATTCTCTTTATTTTCTCTCTGCTAGGTAACAGCAGCTCTTTCTCCAGATGCACCTATCACAACAAACAAATCAGTCTTTCTGGCTGATGGAGGATTTCTTTAAAGCCATCAGCTGGGTTGATTCAGCACCAAGTTAGTATAGCCATGTATTTTTCAGAGAATTACAGAACATCCTGAGTTGCAAGAGACCCAAAATAATCTTGGAGTCCAGCTTCTAGCTTCACAAAGGACCACTCAAAATTCAAAACTTATGCCCGAGAACAGCGTCCAAATGCTCCTTGAACTCCAGCAACCTGGGGCTACTCCCACTGCCCTGCAGAGCCTATTCCAGGGAGCACCCTCTGGTGAAGAATCTTTTCCTCATATCTGGTTTGAACCTGCTCTGATGCAGTACAAGCACATTGTCTGGTGTGGTTACGCTACCTACCAGGAACCTACCTACGCTACCTACTACGCTAACCAATGTGGTTACACATTGGTTACGCTACCTACCAGGAAGCCAAAGGGAAGTGTTGCTCAGGTGAGGTTGCACCAGGACAGAATGAACAGCAGCAGAGGGCACCTGAAGCTCTGCTACCGGGCCCATGGGAGAAATGTCACCAGAAATGTCACCAACAAACAGTTGTGCTTCCCCTGAGCACAACCAGAAGAGAGAACAAAACACCTCCTGAGGGGCAGAGCTGAGGAAAAGTGTCTTGATGAAATTGTGCACAGAAGTTATAACTACGACCAGACTTGAAGGGAAAGAGCCCCAGCATTTCAACCGTGAATTTTCACTTTTCATGACTGAAAACCTGTGGGAGACAATTAAAAACAAAACACTGAGTATTTTATTTTTAAGAGTCAGTATAGGATATTAGGTACTTTACTTGGCTCTGGTTTCATAGTGTAACACTTGTTACCTTTCAAAGCTCGACCTGAGGGAGCTATGAGTGGCCCTTTTAGATTTTGAAGCTCACTGTACTTCAAGCATGGGTGAACAAGATGACCTCCAGAAGTCCCTTTCAACCTGTCTTTTCCTATGATTCTCTGAATTGTGGTTATCCCAGAAATCTTTGCAGGGTGTCAAACCAAACCTCAGAACAGAAACATTTTAAGGCAGCCACTATCAGGGCATTCACTTTGAAGTGAAGCTCAAAGCTAAATCAGTTTATTTTCATTTTGCAACCTCAGCCTCTCATGGTATAAATGCCACAGCTCCAGTGGAAACAGAATACCTCCTTTTGCATTTCTATTACAATTATTTTTGGAATAACTTTCAAGCTTCATCTTTACTTTCAAGCTCAGAATCTTATAAGAAAGTAATGACACTTTATGGCCTATATGATTGAGGAAAAGCATCTCTGAAAAATAACTTTGCAGACTTGAATTTTTTTTTTTTTTTTTTTTTTTTTTTTTTTTTTTTGTATTTGCTGGATGACAACAAATACATCTACACAGCAGCACATTGAATTCAAGTGTATGACTACCTGCAAGTCCCTGGGCTGAAAGATTTAATAAATCAATCATTTGGAAACGGCGAGGAAAAAAAAACACCTAGCAACATTTCTTAAGGCTTGCTTTTCTAAGACAGTCAATGAGTAAAAGTATCTGAGCCATGAAAGGAATTTTTAACCTGAGTCTGTAGAGCAATTTAAGCCCATTTCCAGTGCACATTTGTGCACTGTTTGAAAACACAGAAGTTTAGAATGCAGTTTTACACTTTTCTTTTGAATCATACCATTAAGGTCTTTATCAACTTTATAAAGCCAAAAATCATAAAACCAAACGACTGCAGCAGGACTATATGTCATTAATAGCAGTAACTGTGGATTCTTCATTTATATCCATTCCAAGAAGTGAGCCATACCTTTCAACAATTTATTACAAGAGTTTAGTTGCTTTCATCTGGCTCTTCATGTAAGTTATAACTCATCTTTTAAAATCTTATTATTAGTGCTGCTGCTTCCTCTGATACAAGGTAATACAGAACAGGTATAAATTTCCATATTTACAATCCATCGTTACTGAAGCATAACAAAACCCACTTTCTTATAAATATTAAATTAGAAACCTAAAAAAAACAAAAAACAAAAAAACAAATTTACTCACAGAAAACCAGTTATGAAGACTGAAATACAAACAGGATATGATTTTCCTTTGTGATAGGGGGCTACATTCTAAGAGGCTTGCAAAAGTGTAACTGTACAACAGGAAGTAATGTTCCAGGCTTTATAGTCCTTGTGAAGCTCTTGAAGTGCTGTATTTCGTGCTAGAGTTACAAAACTGATTTCAGAAAAAAAAAAAAAACACAGAGAATGATAAAGTAATAGCAGTGGGTGTTAACACACCTATACACAATTTAAAAATATGAAGTAAAAAGATTAGAAAGATACTGAGTGGCAGTAGGGCTAGAAGAAATTAATAGAAGAAGTTAGTAAGAGGACAATATTTTAAGTAAGTAATGGAAGTAAGTTTTGAGGTTAAAATAAAAAGCAGCTCAGCAAGTCCAAGAAGTAACATAACTTAAAAATACACTTATTTTGATTTATATTGTAACCTACTTCTTATCTAATTACAGCAGAGCTACCTCACCATAATAAAGTATTCTTACCAGATAAAATACACGGAACGGATTGGAAGGGCCCTCAAAGTGCACCCAGCCCCACTCCGTGCCATGGGCAGGGCCCCCCCCCACCAGCTCACAGAGTCATAGAATCACAAGACTGGTAAGGACCTACAAGATCACCTAGTCCAATCATCCTCCCACTACTATCGTTATCACATGCTGAGTCACCCAGGGCCCCATCCAACCTGGCCTTGATCACTTCCAGGAATGGGGCACTCCAGAGAAGCCTGTAGCTGTACTTCACTGCTCTCTGAAGAGTAAATTCACTTAAACCCACGTGTCCTTTCCAGTGCTTTGCTTGGATGCCTCTTCTCTAGGAGAAAAATGATTCTAAAGGAGCTTCCATGTAAGCTCTATTTTCACAGCAGTTCCCATTTTTAGGTCTCCTTCTTACACAAGGGCAACTCCATTCAATCTGGCTTTAACCACCTGAAAGGAATTAACAGGATATTTAACCTTGGGAAGGCCAGGAAGGCTGAAAGTTCACCATCACTGAACTGGCTTTGCTGAACCATGCACCTATCTATGAATGCTGAACTGCAACTTCAGGAAAAATACAGGGTATAATAGTTATAGGGTATAATAGGATGGAAAGTACCACAATAATAGCAGGGTGGCAAAGCCACTGACTGTAACAAATGAGAACAAGCCCAAATTAGCAGCTGCAAAAATGAAGGAAAAAAGCTGCTTACATTTAGAAAGCCTCAGATAGGTAGCAGTCTCCAGCCAGAGATGCCTTTGCGTCCACTGCCAGCCCTTAAATAAGGTCTGGGAAGGGGTGGATCCTGGCTCCATCCCTCCCAGTCACTCAGCTGCATCACATACACCTTAGCTCCTCTGGGTTGGCCCTGCCTTCCCAACAGGTGCGCAATCAGTGGTTCAGGCTGTGACTCAGCATTTCCACTACATAAGAGAATAAACAGATCTGTGCATCAAGTAAAATATTTATTTGTTGAGCTACAAGTGGTGCAGCTGTATTTTTAATATCTGATGGAAAAATATTAAGATAAATATTTCAAGGGCTCTGACTGTTCTCTCTTCTGCTGTTTTTCTGTCCCAGCAGTATATTCTGAAAGCCCTTCTTTGTCAGAGAAAACTCTCCTGCAGCATTTCTGACTCAGATCTATGTATACCAGTGGGTAGTGATGGCTTAGAAATAAGCAAACTGATGTTCTGTACAGGTTCTATCTAGAGGGTACCTGAGGGACTGTTGAGAACAAAACAAAAAAAAAAAGATATGAGTTACCTAAAATTTTTTCCAGTATAGCAAAGTGACAGGTTTGTTGGTTGGTAAGATGATCCAAATGGCTGCCAGCCTCCAAGATTTTTTTAATAAAAATATTTAGTAAACATGATAATCATGTTGAAATTTTAGAACGCCCAGAAACTAAGAGGAGAAATACTAAGAAGAAAAACGTTAATTAAGACCACATACTGAACTTTAAGTTATTTAGAAGAAAATATGGTGTCCACAAACAGAAAATTTATCCATGCTCTCTTTTGATTCTTTGTCATCTCTCTGTAAGAGTAAATGAAATTTTCACTGCGCTTTAAAATGAAGAAGTGTGTCATCCCATTTTCCTATTTTTACTTTCCTGCTGAATAAAGGGTTGCAAGAGGCAGACCATTGAGCAATGAAGAAAGCTTGTTTTGCACATATTTTCAAGAGAACATGGGGAGATCATGGCTCCACTGACACATGCAGCTGCAGATCATGACTAGGAGGTAGCAAACACAGCTGGAGGAAATGACTTCTCAGCATCTCGCCTTGGCCTGGCAAAGGTTGCTTTGGCTGCAGACCGAAGTGACCTTTTAGGATCATATGTTCAAAAGGTATCCAAATGCACTTTTCACAGAGTTCCAGCATGCCTGAGGCAGGCAGAGCCCTCTGGGCCCATCAGGTCCCAGCTTAGCTCCAGCAGGGCCATGCAGAGCAGGGTGCCCAGGACCATGGCCAGGCAGTGCGGACATCCCCAAGGCGCAGACTCCACAGCCTCAAGGCAAATGAACCTCTATCACTTTCCTTATGAGAAGCTCCAAAAGGGCAACTTCATTCTGCTGCCACCTCTATGGTCAACCAGTGCTGTTTTTCCAGATAAATTCTTTATTGATGACACAATCATTTTAGACCTCCCCCTTGTCCCAGGCTCCTTACATCCATATACCATTCTCTAGCCAATTTCACCAGCTGGCAGCAAAGCTCACAACATTAGGCTAGGTGCCAATCCATGTTTCATCCACCCAGAGTAGGGTGGTTCAGCTCTAAAACTTATTACTATGACACAAAGACTGACCCTATTCAGTAGATATCAATTACTTAGGCAAAATCCATAAAAAATATTTGGATTTAAAAATGGAAAAATTGTTCCATTTTAGGGAAGTAATGAATAGAAAGCTGCAAGGAACTGGTCAGTAGGTGGCACAAGAACAGCACAGGACATTGCTGCAGTGTAAGAACTGAGCCACCAGCTTTATTTGTGCTATTAATGCTGTCTTCTCCCTCCCCCGTTATTTTATACAGTACTTCATAAAGCACATTACCCTGTGATTCAACTGACTAACTACATCATTGCACTGAAGTATGTAGGGTGCATGGCTTAAGTAGAAATTCACTTGAAACACTCATTACCGCATCCCTGAGTGCACAGGGTTCTCCTGACATGCACTAACATCACTATACCTTATGAATTGCTTTCAAGCACTAAACAAGGTCGAATTCCACTCTACATCAAAATAGACACCTGACACGCGATGCTCATTTTAGCGGACTTGTGGTTTGCTGACCTGAGAAATTACTGTTTGAATTGCAATCCCAGCATCTCAGAGATTTTAAGATAACTGGGGAAATCTAGGTACAAAACAGACTCCATCTGCTGATGGAAAAGGTTCATTAACAGGGTTTACTCATTGACAGAGAGTTAGGGGAAAAGCTAGAAGAGATTTGTCAGGGCTTGAGGCTATGATTTGTGGCTGTTGCTATTTGCAGATCTGCCTGGAGGAATTGCAGCCACTAGAAAGCTACATTGTGCTGAGATGTCTGCAATGAGCAACATCAAGTGATTACATTTAATCGAGGCTGTTGTCCCCTTGTACTCCAAAGCGTTTCTTGCTGATTGGAGTTACAGGAGAACCACAACAGGTATGAACAGATTCAGCAGCTCCTATTTCTGCTGTATAATTGCACATCTTTCTCTCTGCAAAGATTTTAAAGTAAAATGCAGGAAGACATGAACTGGGTGCCCTGCCTTGAGACCTCAACTTTGGTTAAAAAAATGGGTTGGAGTAAAGCTGAAGGCATTGCAGGGAAGAAAATGACTTTCATAGTTCAATTCTCTGATCTTCTTTCTGTGCTTTGATTCCAAAGGATTGCACCCAAATGTTATGAAGAAACAATGATGAATTTGAACCAAACAAGGTAAAAATGCTGACTTCTGGCTGCTCAAAGGTAAAAAAAAATATAACTGCAAATAATTTAAGTTTAGATGAGTTTCTGATTGGAAAAAAATAGTAAAAGAACAAAAAGAAGCAGGACAAACATCAAGAAACCAAGCTATCATCAGCACAAATACACTTGTCATTGTAACATATTTTCCTTAAACAAGCAAAACGTAATGCCACATAGTCTCTCACATTATTCTTATTTCTTAGCCTGTATGATTATGAAAGGACAATTATAAGCACTATTTAAACATCAAGTGCTCCAGAGCTGTCACACCCTTCTCACTTCAGAAGTAATTGCAACTTCCAGCCCACACTTACCTGCTGTCACAGCTCATTTATTGCTGTAAATTAGGTGCATCAGAGCCACTGAAATAACTGATAAAACTGAGATCACAGCTGTGCTACATTCTAATCAAAATTCACTCTTCACCTTCTAAAGTCCCCTCAATAAAGGATAGGCAGGAAGCCTAATTCTGATACATGGTGTAGAGGCTGGAAATATTCTAGGACTGTCTAAGACAGTTAGAGGGTGGATGTAATGATCCAGTAATCCCTTAGAGTTTGGTACCACAACAATTTCAGCAGAGCCAAGGCATAATATGATGAGTTCTCCTTGATAGGAGTAGAAATAGATGCTGGTGCCTATTCAAACACTAGAAGTATTTTGGTGGAGAAAATAATCTCTATTAGCTGCTCCTTGTGTCTCCAGCAGTGCTGTCTACCATAACACATGGCTGTTCACTCTGACTGGTTTCTAAATGAAGTTACTGCACAATAACTCAAAACTTAAAACAAATTCTTCACAGTTCCAGAATTATTTCTACATCACACATTACTTTCATTTCTGATCAGTTCTGAATGAATAACATCATGTTGCTGATATCTGACAACATTAAATGGAGGACTGTGGAATGTTATAGCTCCCCTAGACAGAGATTTGGATTTATTTCTTTTAATTTCCAGACTGCTCAGTATTGTCACTCTGAATCCTGTGTGAATTTCTAGTGGGAATGAACTACACATTTTCTTTAATGAAAGCTTCAAGTGTAAATATCACTAAGATTTTTAAACTCACAATAGGGATTCAAAATAGCACAACTAGTCTAAGCCAGGATGAATCCAATGAACTTTAAAATTAAGCTCAAATGCATTGACTGGCTATTGTCTATCATTACAACAAGGGTGCAACATTTACCTGATTATGTCAAACCAAAAAGACATCCATGGCCTTTGAATGACCCCATGATGAGATTCAAATAGTGACAAAATCCAAAACTCAGGCAGCCACCTCTCCAGTTACACATTTGACATGGACTGCAACCCTCCTGGCCACTGTTCACTGGTCTCACAGCAGGACCCTTGATAAAGAGAGGCTCCCGGGGTCCTATGGTTCTGCAGCACAGCTCATGAACTCTAGCTCCACTTCCTAGCTTTGCTCTTACCTGATTAAAGGATGTGCTGGTGAGCATGAATGCTAACTTCTTTCCTGTCACCTAGGAAAGATTTATGGAAGAAACACAAATGTATTTGCGAAAGCAAATTGTGTAGATCAGAAAGTTGTAAAGTCATTGGCCCACACATCTGAAACTATTGAATCAATGCCTATAAGTATCTAAGGTGCGGGAGGCAAAGGGATGAGGCTGGACTCTTTTCAACAGTGTGTGGCGATAGGACAAGAGGGAACAGCCACAAACTGAAGCACAGGGAGCAGAGTCTCCTTCTCTGGAAACATTCCATTCCTGCCTGGACGCCTACCTATACAACCTGCGGTAGGGAGCCTGCTTTAGTTGGGGGGGGGGGGGGGGGGGGGGGGGGGGGGTGGAATGAACTGGATGATCTCTGGACATCTCTTCCAGTCCCTACAATTCTGTGATTCTGTAGAATTACTTTGTCATGGATACAATCAGTGAATATACAGATGTTATAATATAGCAGAGAGCTTGGCTATGTAGTTACTACACCAAAGCAGAAAACACAGGAACACTTACCCATAACCCAGGCTCACTTAGGAAACTCCAGTGGAGTAGACTTCCAGAAGAGATCCTTTCCCCCTGGTGGTCAGCTCTTAAATGGGTCTAGGAGAGGTGCAGCCAGGCTCCATCCCTTCTGGCAGCACAGCTGAATTGCCTTCACCTGTGCTCCTGTGGCTGACTCATTGCTGGCCTCAGGTGATCAATCAGAGGTTCGGGCCATGATTCAGCAGATCCATACAGTCATGGTAAAGACAAGAGCCTTGCACAGCAGTGATGGGGCTAATGGTAGCACTCTGGAGCTTACTGTAAAGTCAAAACTAAAACTAGAATATAAATCATAAAAGCTGACCATTCCTATAAGTCTAGTATTGGCATGCACACATAGCATAGCATTCTCACTTCCATAGGTTGCCAGCAATGTGCAGCGGTGAGGCCTCAAGCACAGGGCATGCTTTCTGTATAACACAGTAGACAACCCTGTGTTTTGGATAGACCTGAGCCAAGTGGCTCCAAAAGGCTCTGCTTCTGCAACCAGCTCCTTCCCCACTATGGGAGAACCACGTGGCTCCTCAGGGCTCTGAGGCGCAGGCTGATGCTCTGTGTCCTCTGCGTCCGTCGCAGGAGCTCACGTACACACTGGGCGCAGAGAACTGGGATGAAATTACGTCCCATCACCTTCATGCATAAAATATGGCGTGGCGACACCGGGACAGCAGGGCCTTGGCGGCCTCCCGCCGCATCCTTCCGTCCGCCTGGGGCTTTTCCCGGGGCTGCCGTGGGTCTGCCTGGCTGGTAAACAGGAACCCCAGGTGGCCCCGGGGACGGGTAGGGCCTGCGGCCATGGAGCTGGCCCCCTGCCTGCAGTGGGTGCGGACGCGGATCTGGCGACGCAGAACCGGGCGGCGGAGGCTTTGCAGTAAGTGTGGCATCTGATCCCCTGCACACCCTTCCCTTCTCCGCCTGATGGATCTTCTGTGGGAGAGGATGGCTAGGAAGGATCCCTTCCAAATGGATAGGTGCTTCTTCACATTTTTAACAGGGGATAGAGTGTGGGGTGGGAGGAAACGCCCTCACTGTCACTTTTTGATCAGCTGCGTGAATCAGAAAGGTTTGATTGAACAGAACATAACCCATTCTGTGGTTTGTGAGACAGCAGAGATGATATCTGGAGCCTTACCTCCTCTTCAGCGGTTAGAAGCTGTGCACATCACTGAGCTGATTTACATATGACTTTGCTGGAAGTTACTGCAGTGTGTTATTTGCCATTTCATCACAGTTTTACTAGAGGAATGTCGCATACCTTCCATGGTGGATCTTATGGGCTGTGGTGGGTGCTGCTGTGCAAAGAGTCAAGCTCTCCTAGCAGGGGTACTTGGGCTGCTGTGCTGGAAAGAAATACTGCCTGCGGTACTGCAGAGCCTCAGCAAAGGCAACGTAGTCCTGACAAACTGGAAAAAGCAAGGGGATTTCTTTGGTTTGGGCAACTGTAGTGTCTAGTCTCTCTTAAAGATTGTGAAGAGTCCAGAGGGCAAGATGTGCGAGGAGCAGCTGAAGTCCCTGTGTTGGCTCAGTGCAGAGCAGAGGAGCTGAGGGGAGGCCTGATGGCGGCTGCAGCTCCTCACAGGGAGCGGAGGGGCAGCGCTGAGCTCTGCTCTGTGTGACAGAGACAGGGATGGCATGGAGCTGCATCAGGGGAGAGCAGCTGGGGGTCAGGGAAAGGGGCTGCACCACAGGGCGGTGGGCATGGAACGGGCTGCACAGGGCTGTGGGCATGGCCCCGAGTGCTGGAGTTCATGGAGAGTTTGGACACCGCTCCCAGACATAAGGTTTGAATTTTGGGTGATGTGTGGAGCCAGGAGTTGGACTCAGTGATCCTCATGAGTGCCTTCCAACTCCGGATGGCTGTATGAGCAGAGCAGACCAGGTGAATGAGGAATGTTGGCTGGCAATGTGAAGCATCTGCTCTACTATCAAATTTTAAAAGGGATTTGGAAGAGGATGCCATTCTGCAAAAAGATAAACATGCTAAAATGAGTATGGTGCCTGTCAGCAGGTCTGCCTGGAGTCCATGTCATTTCCTTACCCTAGTTTAGTTATATTGTCTTTCTTTAGTTTATCTTTTCTTTAGTTACGTTATCTTTCAGAGAGGTTGGGTTGAATCTTTCAGTCTCTTAACATTGCAGCACAGGCACCAAACTCTCACATTAACTTCCTGAACATGTTTTTATCATGAACTCAGATCCACTTTGTTCAGATTCAAAACATTGATGGTAGATGCCAGAAAATCTGCTTTTTTTTAGTTGCTGGTTGTCCATGCTCAGGTGCTCACTGGTTTTCAACGCCTGCTGTTTTGCACATAATTTGGTGTGCCAGAGCCTAATGATTATTCTTCTCATTGTTAATGAAGTAGGAAAAAGAAGCAGTTCTGCTTCATGTCTTCTTAGGATTATATTTACCTTTTCCATTTGAGTTCCCTATTCTTGACAAATATGAATTTGGCAGATAGTTTGGAAATGTATATGGAAATATCTTACCACAAAATTAATCTTTAAACATTAATTATCCCATGAATACATGTGTACCTTACTCTGGCTGTCCTCTGAGTTAACAAGAACTGCTGCCAAATGCGTGCAGCACCACTTAGCTCAAGCTGAAAGAATGAGAAATTCGAGAGCAGCAGACACTGAATAATTGAAGGAGGTTTCTTTGGTTGACAATGGTGCTAACTTTGCACATCTCTCAGACCCCCTTTTTTTCTCTTGCTTCTGGATTTGGATAGCATTGCAGCACTAAAGAGGAAGAAAATGGAGAGGAATAGATATATTTATATACTTTAATGTCTGAAAAAGATTGATCACTTGGAAGAATGTTGGCTTCATTGCTAGAAATAACTTGTGGCATCTTTGAGCACTTTGGCCTGCACCAGTGAAGGAACACGGCTTTGTGTGAGCTGACATGGCTGATGCTGAGGCCTGTCATGAGGGTTTGCTCCTCGCAAGCTCCTCATGTCCAGGTTCAGCTTGCCCTTCCTAGATGTCTTCTGCTGAACACTGCCTCTGGGCTGCTGCTGTTAGAGGAGATGTGTTACTGTGCTGCTTATAGATGTGAACTTTAGAATCAAAAATATAAGATCTAGTAAGAAAACTAGGGTACTGCTGGCTTGTTTCTGAAGTCTCCGTGAGCACAGCCTGTCACTGTACCTTGTTGTTAAAGCAGCCATTCAGAGGAACAGATGGAGGGTTTGCAGTACTTCTGTGTCTGCCCCATGGCCCTGTTTTCCAACTGAGACCCTGAAGGAAACTCCCTGTAGGCACGTGTGCTTGTGGCAGAAATGCCTCTTTGAACAAAGACATGCTTTCAAATGGTGAGCAAAGCTTTCCTCACTGTCCTGGTGGATCTGGCTGTTCCCTCCAGCCAAGAGAAAACAACTGCAGCCTGTGCCAGAAAAGCCCTCTGAGAGAATCTTGACATTCACAAAATTCACTCTCGGTTTTCTCCACACAGCAAGGGCTGACACCTGTAGATGTGAGAGAAATTGGAAAGAAAGCATAAGTTCATGATAGCACTGTACAAGCTGATAATGGAATGAATGGCATCTGCCTTCCTGCTGGGCACGCCAGTGGCCAAGGATGTGGAAGCTCTTGCAGATCTTTCCTGTAGGGGAACACCTCTCCATAGCAACACCTCTCCGTGGGTTCTCTGGCATCTCATACAGGCTGTACTGCTTTTTCTTTCATTTTCTTTTGCCCAGACATGCGTGGTTTGGAATGCAGTGGCAGCTTGGGGGTTGTAAAGCAGTTGGTTTGCTGCTTTGTTTGAAGCTGGCCAGTGGGTTCCATGTATATTGATGGAAAGACTGATAGGAGTGTCATCACATGTGCAATGTTTCCTTAGGAAAGCAGGCTAAAAAGCCTTGCTTGCGTCAGTGTTGGAAGCTGAGACTGAATCGCTCTAATAATAACAACTACAGGAATGGAACAAGTCTCAAAGCTGCATTGGGAAGAGTCTGAAAAACAGCTGTTTGCTGCTGCTCCCCAAAATGTACTGGCTTCTGGCCACCAAAACATGTTAATGCCCTGGGGGGAAGGTTTGTTTCTCTGCTTTTTTCCTGAAATTTAGAAGATGTTGTTTGCACCAAAAAAAAAAAAAAAAAAAAAAAAAAAAAAAAAAAAAAAGCCCATCCTAGGGCATTGCTGCATACCAGGGGTCCAACCATAGCTTTTGAACAGTAAGGGTGGGCCTAACCACCTGTGTGCTGGAGCTAATGAAGCCTGTCTGTAACCATAGGAAAAAAGCTGATGGCAAACTTCAGTAAAATCTTGTTAAATATTCATTGTTAGGAACTTCTCTTCACTGGAGAGGTCTACCAGAGTCATTTTATAAACCCTTTTATAAACTCTTTCTTATTTCTGCTCCAAACTAGCTGTGATAATTATACAGGAAAATGTATGCACTGTAGCTTGACTTGCCTCCAAGTGGTGAAAAAAACAACAAGCAACCAAACAAAACAACAATCAGTCGCCACAAAAATTCAAGGGAAAGCAAGAAGCAAGGAGCAAAAATGTCATCTGGAAAAGAGAAATGGCCACAGCTTAATTGTACATGACCTGCACAGCCTCATACAGTATTAGAACCTACCATACTTCATAGCATATGTTGTCTGTAGGGAAAAAGAAATAGATATATGTCACTGGAATATGGGAAAGCAGCGCAGATATACTGTCCATACTCATTGATGGAAGTTAATAGACAAGCTTTGCTAGACAAGCGTTGCTACCCTTAAATGGCAATAAAAAGAAAGTACACTGTCCTCCTTGTTCCTGGCAATAATGTAACTTTAAATGGTGCTTTTGTTTTGGGAAAGGAGGAGGAGTTTGCTTTCCTGTAGAAAGTGAGCTTTAAGCAATATTGGATACCAGCACTATATTTTGTCTGTTACCTCCGGAGAACGTTCCTTGCAAAGCATGCTGTAACACATCCGCTGGCGGGACGCTCCATGCGGTGCTGCGGTACTTGTGTGGGCAGAAAGCATTTCCACTTCAAGGGGTCCAT